CAAAACATCTCATTTGTTTAAGTGAGCGCTCCTTCAGAGCAGTAAGACTTTAGGATCGATCTCGATCTCTCTCGATCTCTCTCCCTCTCCCTGGTCAGCGTGCTTAGGTCTATGCAAAGCAGAGGAAGACAAGGCCCCTGGCTCAAGGAGCTCACACTTCAAACAGAAATACAACACGATGGAGACACAAAGCACCAGCTGACCAGGAAAAGGATGTCAAATTAGTACAGTTTGTTTCTACGCCACTTTGACTGGTGGATTAGTGCTGACAGGCCTCATGGAAGCAGTGGACTATAAGGACGTATATATGAACCAAGAGTGGATTCCTGGCTCCCAAGGACGGCGAAGGAATTCCACTCGACAGGAAGCAAAGAAAGTTTCGTCCATAGAGTCAGATATATTTGTCCATTTTACCAAATGGAAGTTGCGTGTAGACAATGAGTTTTCCTAGGCTGGGGCTGGGAGAAGGAAAGACACTTCAGGAAAGGAAATCAGTAAAGAAAGCAGGAAAGGTTGAGACAAACAAACACACTTCCTTTATGGCGCTAGTGATAGCAGCTTTCAAAAAAAAAATGTAACAAACAAATGCAGGTTAAGTCTGCATTTTCATATTGTTCAAACAACTCTTGAATATGAGCCTCTGAATAAAGTGAATAAGGAAGGGCAACACCAGTTTTAAATATGATCCTAATAGTTACCAAAATAAATAAATAAATCACATCGTTTTCTACTTTTCTTCTGTGGAGCCAGGAGTTGTTACAATTCTCTCAATTTATATAAAAAATGGAGAACAGAGTCAAGAGGCTGATCCTGCAGACTTGTATGACAAAAGTGAAATGGAATGATGACCCTATAGTACTAAATAATTGCTATTAGTAAGTGACAGAGATGGGGATTGAACCCAGTAGTCCTGGCTCTAACTCTCCTATCTATTTCACACAGTGGATCAAGCGGAGTATCGCTCCACTGACTTCAACAGAGCTGAGGATTTGACCCACTGTGTCATTATCCCACTGCAACAGGTACCGTTTTCCTTGTAGGCTTATTCCACAAGACCACATGTTAAAGCTCCCTTGTATTGCACAAGAGTAAGTACTGTATCCATTGGAAATGAAATACAAGATCAAGATCAGATAGATAGAGCACAGAATTGCTGGTCTACACTGGCAGGAGATTTATTAATTGACTTGAAAGTTCTGAAACCTACTTATACAGTTCTCTTTGGTGGTAATTAGGTGAGGAGGCCTATTTTTTCTAGCTATGCTTAGCTCAAGGGGAAAGGGGAAAAAAAAAAAAAAAAAACCACTCTGAAGCAACAAACAGATTTTCCTTAAAGTTTAGGTCACAAGGGTCACTGCTGTTGGTAAACACACCAAACAGGGAGGGAGGAGTTTGTTTTCCCGGTTATTTTCTAAAAACTAATACAGAGGTGATGTTACTCTTACAAACTCCACGCACAAAAATAAGCCTCACCTATGCAAGTCACCAAAATGACATGAGGTTCACAGTAAATTGTGTAGATATTCAAAGCATGATACTGAGTGATGCCTGGGCCCCTCTTCAGCAGGGCCTGATTATATCCATGTCCTCCGCTGGGCTCCCTGGGGTTGGTTCCTTCTTGATTAGGAGATACTACTACTTGTCCTGACTCCCAACCACCACCCACTTATGGCACTAAAATGAGATATCAATCATAGTAAATTGAGAGCTTTTCCCGCCAACATGTTACCATCGCTTGTTGGGGGTGGTTTAATTATGTTGATGGGAGAGCTCTCTCCCGTCGGCATAGAGCAACTACACGAGCGATCTTACAGCGGCACAGCTGCATCGGTACAGCTGTAAGCTCTCATGTAGACATGGCCTTAATGTTGATGTTTAAATCACCACCACTAGGCATCCGAGTTCACCTCGGGCAGTTCACACCTCTCAGAGCTATTGTTACAGGCACAGTGGACTGGCACAGACATCCCTGCTTCAGTTACACTGTTACAGTTGTTTCTGAGCCCTAATAAGAGGTGATAAATACTGTAGGTGTACTGCTATGTAAACCATATGCCAACAGCAACAGTCAGCTATCTCTGAGATGAATGGTGGCAACCAACCAGCATATTTCTAAAGAGCCAGGAGAGGTGAAATCTTGGTTCTAAATTGGTCTACTAGGAAATTCTGTAAAGATTTTTAAACATCCAAGCAGAGCAGACCACACTTAATTTTAGTGACTCAGCCAAAGGTGCCCCACCCTAACCTTCCCATTAAATCATACACAGTACAGAATTCATCTGCCTTGGAATTAAGAAGTCAGCTCCAGGGGAGGAATGTTGGTCTTGTGGTGAAAGCACTAGAGTGGCACTCAAATTCTGGGATTAGTTCAAAGCTCTGCCACAGAGCTTCCAAGATGATTTCAGGTAAGACACTTCATGTCTATAAGCCTCTGCTCCCTATTTGTAAAACTGGGACAACAATGCTTCATTTCTCTCACCCTCTGTCTTGTCTATTTAGACTGTAAACTCTTCAGGCATCCAGCCAACCATGCAGTAAGACTATCCCTGATGTGGTACAATGGACTCCAATAACTTTTAGGGTCCCAAGATGTAATAAAAATATTTTGCCATCATCATCCATCCATGGATTTGGCTCTGTGGTTCCAAGGAATCTAAACATTTCAGTCTTGTTGCTTTGACCAAACATGCTTCCCTTCAGGCGAAAAGTCTGACAGTTTTGCTGCGACAGATAGGATATGAATTCAAATATTGATAAGATGAATGATGTAAGCACGAGTTAGAGCAGATTTTCCCCATCCTCCTCTTACCTCCCTCTGTACATTTTTAAGAGGGCAAAATCCATGTCTCTGATCCACAGAGCAAACTCTGCCAGCTGTGGCAGTCCACTCTCCCTACATGTCTGGAAATTCCAGTGTGAGAGCAGAATGTAAGAGTAGAGATCATGTAAGTGAAAAAAGTCCACCCTCAAGTAGGGATGCTAGAGGATGCATATGGGTATCTACAATAGTTCCCTGAAAGTTACTGCAATTACCACTTACAGAAAATGGGGATGTTGCCAGGTAAAACTGTCACTAGGCATGATGGGAAACCTTCAGGCCTTCCCCTTCTGGAAGGTATACCCAAGTTCAGGCTCTCAATTAAACATGTCTCAGCCATGCAATAACTCCTTAGCTATAGCTATGAGCTAGCTTTCTTTTTGCAAAGATTGCTGGATTTCTAATACCAAGGACGTCTCACTTGTCTTCATCTTAGTGTGATCCACAGCAACATTTTCAAAGCCGGAAGTTTATACAACATTCATATACAGCTTGGTCACCACAGCCAGTAACAGAGTCTGTCACACAAAACTGTCACTACATCATGTTACCGGATTGCAAATGGGCGGGCTGCTAGTAAGCGTATCGGGTGTTGATTTACACTATGAAACATTCTGAGAACCATGTGCCAGAGAATTTTTCTAGGCCATTCATTTGAGGATCACTAACATTCATTCCAAACAATACCAAGTGGTAATAGTGATAAATATTTGAAGGAGGAATAATAATCGTGTATCTTATCCACAAGAATGTATCTTGGGCTCATCTCTACAACTACGGGCAAGTTACCTATGGTTAAGTCATAGTACTAAGAATATCAGAGGGGTAGCCATGTTAGTCTGTATCCACAAAAACGAGGAGTCCGGTGGCACCTTAAAGACTAAGATTTATTTGGGCATAAGCTTTCATGGGTAAAAAACCCACTTCTTCAGATGCCTGGAGTGAAAAGTTACAGATGTAAGCATAAATATACTGACACATGAAGAGAAGGGAGTTACCTTACAATGGGAGAACCAGTGTTGACAGGGCCAATTCAATCGGGGGGGGGGGGGAAGAGGGATGTGGTCCACTCCCAATAATTGATTACGAGGTGTCAATACCAAGAGAGGAAAAATTGCTTTGTAGTGAGCCAGCCACTTCCAGTCCCTATTCAAACCTAAATTAATGGTGTTAAATTTGCAAATGAATTGTAGCTCTACAGTTTCTTTTTTTTACCCACGAAAGCTTATGCCCAAATAAATCTGTTAGTTTTTAAGGTGCCACCGGACTCCTCATTGTTTTAGTACTAAGGATCAGGACCTGGGTTTTAATTCATTGCTCCGCCTCAGTCTTACCCTAGGACAGGGATCAGCAACCTTTGGCTCATCCCTCGGCCCGTGCCGCTTTCCATAACTCCCATTGGCCTGGGACAGCGAACCGTGGCCAGTGGGAGCTGCGATCGGCCGAACCTGCGGACGCGGCAAGTAAACAAACCAGCCTGGCCCACCAGGCCCACATGCCAAAGGTTGCCGATCCCTGCCATGGGACCTAGCAGCCAGCCACTCAATATATTCATATCTTGTTTTCCTTATTTAGAAAATATAGACAAATGCTCACCTTTCTTACAGGGGAGATGTGAGGCTAGATATCCATGGAGTGCTTGGAGCTCCTCAGACAAACAGTGCTTAAAAAAAAAAAAGTTCATGAAAAAGGGACTATTCAGAAAGGAGCAATGTTAACATCAGTTCATTCTGAAAGAACTAGTATTTAGCTCCAGGGTTTTCAAAAAAATTCCTCTAAAACAATTTGTCCATAGCTGTCCTGCAGTCTTCTCAAGCCAAACACCATAACACAAGATTAGGGCATCAGCAACAGAAAATAAAACTAACACCACTGTGAAACTGACTGGTTTAGTTTAGTTCATTGGTTGTTTCAGACCTGAACTAACAGTATAAAGAGTAAGATTTTTAAAGTTGTTATGGCCTTAACCAAAGGTATCTTTAGAAAACAGAAGTAAGGGCCTGTCAATACTGCTTTTAACAGCAAATATGCACAGGGGTTAAGCGCATGTGTGCTGGAACAATTTTTATAGTGGGGGTATTGAGAGCCATTGAACAAAACTGTAAACGCTGTATATCATGGAAACCACTTCCACTCAGGGGGTGCTGCCACACCTCCAGCCCCACATTCTTCCTACCAAGGCAGCGGTTTCACGTTGCCAGTGTGTACGCAGAGACAAGGAGCCAACCCCAGCCTGGGACGGACACCAGGAAAGTGCCTAGAGAACTGAGCCCAATAACCCAACTTCAACCACCCCGACTACGAGGCAGAAGAGACAGGTCGGTCAGCGAGGGGGTGGACCCGGGAGCCCCCTGCAGGGCCGTAACACGCTGGGCGGGGCGGGGTCACCCGCAAGCCGCCTCAGCAAGAAGGGCTGTGGGGGACATTACTACAGCGGCCCCGAGCTGCAACAGCAGGACTGCCCCGCCTGCCTTGTCCCTCTCGCGCCCCTACAGCGCGGGCCCGAGGAAGGGCCCACTCGGGGTACGGGGCGCAGAGACACGGTACCCCCACCCCAGGGCTGGGCTCCTCAAGGCAGCACCCGAGTTCTCCAGGCACCCACCCGCCTGCGGCCCTGCCCCGCCCCAGCAGAGCCTCTGGCCCGGGCGGCAGCGCACTGGGGGAACCAATGCCAGCAGGAGCCGAGAGCCCGGCTCCAGGAAGCCGATGCAAGGGGAGGTCGGGCGGCCCGGGCCGCAGAGGCTCCCGCAGCCCGGGGTATCGGTATCCTTACCCAGCCCAGCGCAGCGCTCTCCCCCAGCCGCATCTGCAGCGCCCGGCTCCGCACCACTACGAGCTCCGCGAGCCCATTTACCCAGCCCTGGCAAAACCCGACCCCGCTCCGCTCCTATTGGCTCCGCCACGTTCCTTTTCCGAACGCGGATTTAGGGTTAGCACGGCCTCTGATTAGCCGAGTCGGCTGTCGCCCACTGCCTACTTCCTCCCACCCCGAAGCCTCTCCTCCAATGGAGAGGAGGAGTGCTGAGGACCAGCCAATGGGAAGGCGTCGTGCGGAGTGGGCGGCGTTCCTTATTTCCCCAGCTGGTGGCTGGATCATATAAAGCGTGCGAGTGATTGCGCTCTGGGGCCGTATAGGAGACTATTAGCTTGCTCGGTCTAGGGCAGCTCCGGAGCCCGGGCTGTTTGGGTCCCCATGGTTTAGCCCAGCTAAGGAATTATTGCGGTTTGACCCATACTTCGCTTTGAAACGACGGCGCAAGAACCGGCCAGTTCAGAGGATTTTGGGGGTGGTGCGAAACTTTTGGTTCAGTGTTGTCGTTAGTCTGAACATCTGCTATACTATTAACAATATCAGCACGTTAGCTCTTCCTTGGCACTGCAGGCTGCCATGTGACCTAGCATTAGCTTTTCTCTTAAAAAAACAAAACAAAACAACCCAAGCTGTTTTGTTTTAGCAGGTACATAAGTAACTGATGGAGTAATTCACTTCCCATTAGAGCAGGTGGGCTCACTCTCCATAGAACTGGAAGAATTCCCTCTACAGTAAGTCTGACCACTTTCAGGAGATCCTGCAATACTCTCCTCCTTGACAAATTACCTGGACTCTAAATAGCAAGATAGTGAGTTTTAAAAAAGATTATTCCCCAAGCAGTCTCCTTATCCTGGGAAATGAGAACTTGGAGGAGAAAACTCCATTAAGTTCACCAAGGACCTCACTGTGCAGATTTAACTTACATAGGAAATGATTACTAGCTATTATGGTAATTGGCACTATAGTATATCTGCCTAGAGCCCTGTCACCTTGCTTGCCTCACTCTTGGTTTCTTCTGACTTGGGCCATTTTTAGCTATATATCTTAAATGATCACAGTACTGTATGACCGTTTAAAAACTGTGCCCCTTGCTGACTCCTTTGCCTTCTTGGCTTATCTTTCTGGACTAACTGACCCTTTGACTTCCTTTCTTCTGTCCGGTTCTAGTCACCAGAGTAAACAAAGCACCTGGGATTATCAAACTAGGTGTCTACCTCTCCCCAACACCAGCGCTCCCAAAGCTGTAGTCCGTCTCTCCCAGGAGGAGAAGGGAGATTGAACAAAGACTACTGCAGTGTTGCCAAATATAAGTGCTCAAAAATCATGAGACAGGCCTCCTAAAAACACAAGATTAAGTTTAAAATTATGAGATTTAAAATAATAATGTGAGATGCTCTTTATTTGCCTTCTGTTTCTTTAAGCCTCTAGGGTGCATTTGGGCTACATTTTCTTATTTCCCCCTGCAACTATCAGAACTAGAAACGTACTTTGTTTTTTACATTAAAGTTGAGATCCTTGTGTATTCATATGACTCCAGGAGTTGGGGCATTAAGAAAAATGCCAAATATTGCAAGACTCACAAAATTGCAAAATGGCAGTAGGGATGCCACCACTGAAGTACAAAAAACTGGGATTTCCTGAGCCCATAAAACTGGACAACTGGCGGTGTGTGCTGAGCACCTTACAGATTTTCCAGGACAGCTACTTCAAAAAAGGGACAATCCTGGGAAAACCTGGGCGGGGTGGCAACCCTAACTAACAACACTACTGGATTGTGGTCATGTAGGGCTCATCCTGCTTCCCTCCAAGTTTATGTTCTGTCTGTTTATATCTGGTTTCCACGGGAAAAAAAATCCGCTTTAGCTGTGTGTCTCTGTGGTATGTGAGTGAATAATTCTAAGACAATGTGGTCTGTCAGACCCTTTCCTTGAGAGTGCCTGCTAAGGAGCTTTCAGCCTGGGAGTCCCTTCACATGCTATTTCTGAATACATCCCCAGAGAAGCATCTGACCTTAGAGGAAGCTAAAGAATCCTTTCTACTAGCTGCCCAATCCATATTAGTGTGTGCTGCGGAAAAAGGCTTTCTGCTGCATTTTTTTTTAAACAAACAAATTTGTGCAGTCATTTCCTTAAAGCACTTTTCATAAATAATATAGGGAGAAGTGGCTCTTATGAAAATCTGACAAACGAAACCTCAGCTTTCCAGCGCAGAAGGTCATATTCTCTTTCCAGAAATTATTGTCAGCTGGCTGACTGTTTTTCTAAACACAGAGAGACATTCATAGGGGTTGCCCTCATGGGAGAGAGCAAAAGTTGGACCACGCTGATCTGTCCTAAACTGTTATAGTTGTCCAGGTATAGGCAGTGAGTCATGGCTATTTAATGTCAGGAGGTATAAATAACAGCTGGAAGCATGATTTCTGATAGAAGTGAAACAGTGAGATGCTATGTAGGCTCTCCAGTGGCAATAGGCACAACACTATCCATCAGAATAGCATTAAAGGCCTCTTCAATTACGTAGATGACATGCAGGAGGATCAGTCTCTGGTGTGAGTTTCTGGAACATTTACTCTAAAATACACAGACCGTGTTCCTCAAGAGCCTTAGTAGGTTTGTCATAGCCTGGAAACCTGCAACCCCTCAGGGAAAAGTAATTACTGAAGTGTAACAGGGTGGTCTGCCCATCTAAGGGCCAGGAGGCTTTGGGTTGGTCAGCCCTGATCAACTAGCCTTTCTCTGCTACACCTGTGCTGGAAGTTGGACTTAAGAGGAAGGCAGCCCAGCAGCAGAGAGCTGGCTGAAGGGGAGAGCATAATGCTCTGGGGGGCCGGAGGAAAGCATGAGGCAGGCAGAGTCCTGTGGAAGGCTTGAGGTAGGAAGGCCTGGGAGTGGCTGCTTGGGAAAGGAGCCCAGGAGGGGCTGAGAGGAAAGGTGGAAAGGAGCCTGGGAAGGGCCAAAGCTGAACCCAGAGTTCTGGGCAGAAGAGTGATGGAATTAGAAGATAGCCCCTCAGAAAGGAGGACCTGGGTCAGTGGGAGACTGGGACAAAGACTTTGTTTTATTTTCGGTTTTTGGACTAGGAGTATTCCAGAAGGGGTGGACTTTTGTTAATGACTTAGCTGGAGGGTGAAATCACTGCAGCAAGTCACCTCTACAGCTGTAGTAGGCTGAAGAATGTAGTGGGGAAACTGAGGCAGAGCACTACAGCAGCGGGTCTTGCTGTGAGAGGAATGGGGAGTCGTGTAACATCATACAAACACTGGCGGTCACTGAGGTGGGCCTGCACATTTGTTGGACTTTCAGAACTTTGCATCCTTTTGAACTGCAAACTCTGAGATGCTGACCAGGTGACAGGCATGGAATGGCATACAGCAGGAAACCCATTCCTTTGCTGTTTCCTTGAATTAGTGTGCATACCAGATGCTGCTGTGTGGCTTCAAATCCAACCCCTCATCCTGAATTTGGAATCCAGCTCTGAATAGTATGGCTGGTCCCTATTATTATAATGGACAAAACTAAAATCTGGATTCAAACACTCCAAAATTCTAGGGACATTTGGGTTTTAGTCTGAACTTTGTTCAGGCCCATATCTACTTTGAAGTGGCACTTGCTGATTGACAGTTGGCTGAATGTTCCCTGATCATCCACGCTGTGCTGATGCATATACCAAGTAGGACCTAATGTTCCACTGACTTCCATATAACATGGCAGATACTGTGGTTATGGATGTCATAAGACAGCAGCAAGCCAAGCAAGATATGAGACCTAAACCAGTTGAAGTGGCATGGGCCCAAGGTCGTAGGGTGGCGTAGAGGGTCGGACAGAAAATTTCTCACACCTAGGCCATAATCTTGCAACCAGAGCCACACACTCAGACATTGGCACTAGTGCTGAGGTTTGATTTAAGTGGGACTCTGCACAGGCATAAAGGTCAGCTGGCACAGATTAGATTACAGGATCAGCGACTTACTTAGGCAGAGGTCTGCACGTGCGTATCAAAGCAGTAATCCCATCCAAGCTAAATGACGATGCCCAACTAGCAGGGAGGCCAACAGTAATTCAGACCAACCCATTGAACTGATGACACTAAAGATCTAAAATGTTTTAGAACTGATAAACATTACTCTTATCCAGAACCTGTCAAAATATGAAAACCCCACTTAAAGACCAATGCTCGGAATTGGTGCAGCGGTAGGGAAGTACTCAGACCAGCAGTAAAAGTGTTTAGCTCCTAAATTTCATTTGTCATAAAATAGGCATGACTGGGTGTGCAGTGTTCTCTAGTTTCTAAATGTTTTGAATCAGTCTCTGCTTTTGTGTTCAAGGCACGTTCTCCTAGCTGCTCCCCACCCTCCAAAAACACCAACAAAAGCCACTGTTTTGCTGAGAGAATATGCAGCGTTGCCAACTCTTGCAATTTTATTGCAAGTCTCATGATAGTTGGTGTTTCTTCTAAAGGCCCAGCTCCTGGAATCATATGACTGTGAGAATCTGTTTTCACTGGGGA